GAGAAACTGTAAGCACAGTGATGAAAGTATCATTTGGGTCCCTTCAATCTAATTGCATAGAAGTTCAGACATAACATAATGGCACTTTTGGACCTTAAAATATAAGGATCTTTAAACAAAGCTCTGTCTGTGATCAGACCAAATTACTGAAAAAGAAAATAAAAGGAAATTAACCTTAATGTGGCAAGATTTCCAGAAATTTTTAAGGAAGCAATTAAAAAAGGCAGATTTACATGAGTCTTGCAAACCTCATTGAAGGTAAGCAGGTAGCAAGTTTAAAAGAAAAAACAAGAACTTTTTCACATGTTACTTAAATATGAAACTCCTTGCCATAGAATCTTGTGGGACTAAAGGCATAACTGTAGTTACAAAGAGATGACACAGACATGGATAACAATTCTAGCACTGAATGTATTATAAACAGTAGTCCACATATAACTGGATTTTGGAAGTCTCTGTTCTTGCTGTATGTCTTGTATCTTTCCCCTAGACATGATACAAGTCTAGACAGACCTTTCATCCTATTTAGTACGGTTGTAATGGTGGTCTTACAAGGGTAGAAAATACATAGCAACAAAGCAAACAAAGGTTAAACAATTATGTATCGAGTTTCAGTGAAGAGGTCCAAAGGAAGCTACATGGACTGCTGTTAGAAATGAAATCATTTTATGGTATGCACAGGAGCAAAATCCACACATACTAACACTTCATCAAGATGTTAGAAAATAATATAAAATACTTCTGAGAAACTGAACAAATTAGTAGGAACTTTCTACAGGGTACTAGGAAAGGTCATGAATGTCTGATTTTAATCTTTTCTGCTGAACTTATCCACATCTTAGGGCATTCCTAAAAGGACAGATATCATATCTCAAAAACGTTATTTTTTTTAGAGACCCAGTTTGATCAGTGTCAGCTGCTGATGGAAGCAATTTGGTTAGTGTGTTAAAAGTATATGTACACAGACTCCAGCTTCTGTAAGTCTGTAAAACTAGTTCAGTTCCTCCAAGAGTTAACAGAGTAAGGGACATAATGGAGCATGACGATACACTGTCACTGATGCTTTGCTCGTAGAGAGCATTGTGTCAAATGCTGTACACATGCATGCTCTGCTTACAGCCATATTTACATCATGCTTTTGTTGTGCACCAGAAGCAGAGCAAATTACCATAATCTATCCAAAGGTAATGCGGGAATGGATCACTGTCTCTATCTTCTTATTTGAGGGGAAAAGTGTATTTTCCTGATCATCTGGAATTGGAAGAGGATTTTCTGAACACATATGACGTAGAAGCAGGTAGACAGTGAGTGAGCATACTAACTACATAACTACTTTGTTTTAAATAGAAGATGTTATAAACCTATCAAATAAGAAAGATTTTTTCCACATTCCATGTTTGCAGAAATAGTGATAATGCCAAAAATATATGGATCTAATTTTGACATCAAATACATTACATAACTGAAATAATTAAATGCAAAATTATATAGACTAAGTTTATGATTTTGTCCAACTTGTCTCATTTGCAAAAAGACAAGTCAAAGTGGCATAGGAGTTTTTTTGAAAGGTTACAGGACATATTACATAAGGAATGATATACACAGTGATTCCTGTAGGTAGAAACTGTGGACTACGTAATCAGCTCCAAAGATCTTGGGGTAAGGTACATATCAATACAAGTAGAAGAGCTAAACAGCAATGATAACTCATAATTCTGGTGCAGTTGAATCTACTGAAGTTTCTAGATGTTTTAAAATTCACTTTGTTTAAATGCCAGAAATACCTCTAAATTTATGAATTTTTAAAGTATTATACAATGTGATTACAGTATTAATACAGGGCTACTATTTGTTCTTTCATCTATCTACATAAATTTCCATAGTCAACTTACTCTAAAACAGTGCCTTTAGCTTTCTGGACAGTTATTAATTATCTCCCCATTTTCAAAATCTATTTCTCTTTACAAATATTAATGATAATTTTAACTCAAATGAGCATTTCAGCTTTAAAGTAATTGAAAACTAAGCAGCTATTTAACTATGAAATCAGCTACTGAAAAATTTTATGTTCACCACTTACATCATTAAAGGAGAGATTCTGAAATTATATTTTTTCTGCATAGAAATGAATAGTTACAAAGTATTAGCATCTCAAGCCATTACCAGGACTCATTCTTCAAGTACTTTTATTCGTGATTTGTTCTTGCCTCTGTGACCTTCTTCACAGAAGAATAATTTCATATCACAGATGATTTTTTTCAGGTAACGGTTGGGGTCTGTATGCTAACTCTCAGAAATACTTCTCTTTTTTCATGGTTTGGGTCATTATCCATCTTTCCCAGGCTTATAATATTTTTATATACAAAAGCACATTGTAGAGAAGTACAGAGGAGATATTCTTCCTTCTGAAGAGCTATTATCCTTAACAGCCTTTTTTAATTAGCTTTTAATTTTTTTTGCTTTATTTAAGCTTCTTCAGAAAAAAACATTGTTCTAGATTAGCATATTCATGAATATACTCAGTAATTTTTCTTTTCCCCAGTAATAAATAGCACACAGAAAAGATTTAGTTGTTCCCTAAGATTATAGGCTAGCCAAAGTTCCAGAGATTATTACTTAATGAAGAGCACTTTAAGATCAAAAGATCAGAATCTTTTTTTCTGCAGGTTTCAAAACTGTTTATGTTATTGATGTTTTTGAACTTTACAGAAACTTAATGGAACTTTCCATTCCAAACTCACTCTGGCACTTTTGAAAACACCTTCCGTAATCATTAAGTTAATGGGACTTAAATTGGAGTATTATTTTTCCAATCTAACTAAAATCTTTTCTTAGTAAGTATTCCAAGCAGGCAGAAGAAGCACGTAGCTCACTTAAAAGCAGGAATGTTGAATTCTATCATTAAATCTTCCACTAGTTCACTCAGTGACTCTGAATGGTTACTAAAGCTAGCAGTTTTATGAGGCAGCAGCTAAACTAAGGTACTAAAAAACACTTCAAGGAAAGATTTACATTGACTGTAGGAGGCTCTGAATCAGTCTGCAAATGGCTGATTAGTAAAATGTGCTGAATACTTGCACTAATTGCTTAAGTCAACAACAGATGGAGGAGTTGGCATCTGTGGACATAAGGCCACTCCTTCATATATCCAACTTTAGACATGTAAAGTACGAAGATTTGAGCTCAAGCTTTGTGGCCCAGCTCTTCAATCAGTAAAATAAGTCTTAAGGAAATCCCATTCTCATGTGTTACAGTGAAAATGCTACTTAATTATTCATACATCAGCTGTGTCACACACAACTCCACATTCAGACAACCACCCAATATGCCCTTTCAGCAAGTCTCTTCCCCTGGCAGTCCCAGCCCTCCCTTCCTGCTCTGCTTACCCTCTCCACAGCCAGCTTCTAGCACTGGGCTCCCTTCCTCTTCAGCAGCTACCTTCATACCCAAACCAGGCCCTTTGCACCTACCCAAGATCCCAGCCTCCTTACCCAGCAATCTTAAAATATACTGCTGTTAAGTCTTCTCCCCAAGTATCTCCTAGCCTCCCAACAGCCAGATTTTATGTCCTGTTCCATACCTGGGAACAGGAGGGCTGTGCCAATGAGAAAAAGGAATTTCAGTGAAAGAAAGCAATTTATTTTTGGAAAGAACAGAACCACTTGGGGTGAAATTTTCCTTCTCTCCTATAAACACATGAGCACACACAAATACACAGAAGTCCTATGAAAGAAAATAATGTTTCCCTCACAGTGAATTCAAATTACACTAGAAAGATTACACCTGGAAAATATATTAATAACTGAAACCATTCATCAAGAAAATTTGGGAAATAAAGATGGGGGAGGGAGCTGGGCCTGGAAGCATGGAAAGTGTTTGGATTATCTGGGAAAGAGAAATGTTAGGTAAAATGAATAGGCATGCTGGCGGTTCTGCCTGTGAGGTACAGAAACATATGCAAAATTGTCATAGAAGAACAGGTAGCTCCAGTGTTTGAATATTAGTAGCAAATGAATTAATATTTCCCAAGAACATGATTAATGCTTTAGTGGTAATTTGGAAACAAACACCTAGCAGGAGTATTTAGAATTGCAAATTGAGTACATACATATCACTAAAATATTCTAATAGCACTTTTTTTCATTTAAGTTCTAGTTGCATCAAACCCTTTTTAATATTTATGAAATAAAGTGAAGCTTTTCAATCTTTTCTTTGTGTGCTATAGTACAACAGAACAGATGAGTTTGCTGGTGCTACATTTGAGTGCTTTGAAGAAACTGGTATTATTTGGTGCCACATAATAAAGGAGTAACTGCACGTACAGTACAAATAACAAGATAAGTATTATGTTGACTGAATGCAAAAGTAAAAATCCATTTCTGACCATTTTCCACATAAACCATTTGCCTAATGAAATTAGCCTTCCTTCCGCTTCACAGTACTACTTTCTATTATCATGGCTGGATGGAAATAGCCTTTTCAAACTCAAACAGCTCACAATACCAGATTGTTCAAGCATAGTGCAAAGCAAATGCAGTCATACAGCCAGCCTGATGTTGAAAGAAGAAAAAAATCCCAACTGCTGTTCTGAGTGAAAGGTTCCACAACTGAATCTCATACAGTAGGCAAAACTGTACTATTATCTTCATATGCTGAATTCAACAGGGATACTCAACATGTAGTTTGCTGCAAGTACCCACTGAAGGGAGAAAAACCAAAGCTTTTAAATATAAACAAGCTCAAGGGAAGCATTCCAGCACAGATTTATTCCCACAGTCTCACTGATGGTACATGTATAACCACTGGGAAATAACTGCACTAGCATGGAGGGGCTGCGTTCTGACATTCTAGGCATCTACAATCTGAAAACAATCATAATTACGGCAATTTAACAGACTGTTTGATTCCAGTGTTAGTATGTGACATGTGCAAAAGTACACAGTTTTTCTCAAGTGTTTTTAGTGCATGTATTTTCTTTCTTAAATTTAAAATTAACAAACCTTCCCAGTCAGCTTTGAAAGACCATCTCCTCCCATTATCTGCATATCTTGCATAGACTGATCATTCTGAAAAACAGAAAGACCAAAGTTTGAAATTACAATATAAATATAAAATACAATATACAATATAAAATACAAGTATAAACACATTAGCTTGTTTTAGATCTTTCACAGTCTTGGTTACCAATATTTTCTCATGCTCATTAGTACTGGTGCATGACAAAACCACACTCTCACTTGTTCTTATGGCATCTCTCATATGGTTGTACTTAAGCTGACATTGAGGTCCCGGCTTTCTTGAACTAGAAAAAGTTGCATCTTTCTTTCTAAAATAAATCATGTTTCCTTGCTTGCTATTTCTTACCATGACAAGTGTTGAGTAACATACTTGTCCCTTACACAAAAGGAGGACAGGAGCATTTCAACGCTCGACCAAACACCTGTAAACACATTCTTCTTTTGGAAGTCTTTAGAAACACAGGCAAAACGTGCTTACATCTGTCACTCACACAGAGAGCTCAGCTACTTTTGAAGAAATTCACTCCATACTTTTTGGAGGGAAAATAGTTTGCAGACGTTATCCCTTGTTATCACGAATAGTTTCAGTGTGCCATACCGTTTCAGGAGTTTTGGTTTTGCTTTTTCAACTAACTCACAGATAAAATCATTGAGGTCAATTTCATAAAATAAAATACTGTTGATCAGGTCAGGCTAAACACAACAGAATGATATCCTTCGATTTTCATATTAGAAAAGGTAGTTTTCCACAAAATCAGTAGACTTTTTTTTTTTTAATAATTTTTTTACAGACATTTCCAGTTGAAATTCATTCCCATGGAAAATTCTCAACCCGCTCTACGTTTGAATTCATTACCAACAGCATGCAAACTTAAGATCATATAAAGGAGACATAAGGAAGCCCTACTTCAAGGGAATTAAAAAGACGCCTTAAGAAAGGTAGCAAGTTTAAAAATACACAGTCCTGGCCGGGCTATACAAGCTTTCCAGAGAAAGCAAGAGAAAGCTCAAGTTAGTTAATGTGGGGGTTTTGCCAAATCAGTGCATGTGCTAATCTAATCTCTCTACTCATAGGAAGACAAAATTAGTCCAATTTTCATAATAGCTGCAGTACCACAACATGACACTGTAGTTTACTAGCAACATCAGGAAGCTTTATCCTTACAAACAACTGGCAAAAATGCAATACTTGAATACTTTTTTACTTCATAAACCCAGTGCTCTGAAGTCAAATATTTTTCCTCAGGTAAGTAACAGGACAGCAGGACTTACAAAGTAGGTGAGGATACACTGGGCTAAGCGGGTTTCAGTTCTTTTTCCCCTCAGAAAGTGCCAAAGCATCACCAGCAGAGGAGGCATACATATGCCTGCCATGTGGCATGGTTCCACATGCATGCCCATGCAGATGGGAATTGCATCTGCCCATGCTCACAGCCCATGTGGCGGAAGTGCAGGGACTTCCACAGCACATTTGCAGCTATGCAAAGGTGCCAGATCACACATAAGCGATCTGACAACCCCAGGAACTATTCGTGGTCCCCATGGGAATGGATTGTCTAAACTAATACAGTCTTCCCGTGTACCTGTAAGTAAAGGTTGCAGAATTGCCCTGATGACAATTTCTCCAGGTCTGCATACTGCATACTGCAGACCTACCAAAAGGCTCCCCTTTCAAACTCCACTCCACCATAAACTCTCACACCACAGCTTTGCAAGAGGTCCTTAGTCATCATTGCCTTAACAAATGGTTTTTAGACCTGCCTTCACCTTTTCTGCACCGAGTCTAGGAGCTTTAGGTCCTTTTCATGTTGCTCTGATTTGTTTCCTGGGAAACAGAGCTACAGCAAGAATGAAGGTTATATCCCATATGTTTTCTAATGTAAGTTTTAACATTTCTCTTATTTTTGTAAAGAAAAACATTAAAATCAATCCCAAACAACAAATAAAAACCAAAGAAACCAACAGATATCCTCAGAAAATTATTTTGAAACTAAATAAAATGTGGAGATAGAGAGGATTTTAAGTTGAGGCTTACAAGCCTTTTGTTGCAGAGCAAGACGGATCACTCTTGAAAAGTCAGGGACATGTTCAGGTCAAGACTGTTATAAGACTATAAAAAGCAGATAGTTCCTAATGTTTACCACGGCATGTGTAACCAAGGCACTGACAAAATATTTTTTCATTTCCAAATAAAAAAGTCTGGAATTCCATTAACAACAAACACACAGGAATTACTGAAGAGGCAGTTTGCCCTTAGCTGCTAGCTGAAAAAGAGGGAAAAAAAATTGTAACAGCCAGATGCAATGATTAATGAATTTATTTTCAACAAAAAAAAAAAATATCTCTTTCAGCAGTCTTCACAGCAGCACTGTTTCCTTTGCATTTGGCATTTCTGGCTGCAGCTGAAAGGAAGATGCTGAAATAGCATCTTCATTGCTGGCAAGCAGTTAAGCAAACACAAAAGCCATTGAGAGCTGGGGGGATCACAGCATCCTGTCAATCATGCATTCACACATTGGCTGTTGTGGCACCATTGCTCACAATTATGAAAATCCTTGTGTTCTGACTGAGGAATGATTGCTGTCAGAGGACAGGGCTGACTATTCACTGTGCCTAAAAGCTGCATAGGAAAATGCAGCTCAGAGACTTCCCGGCAAGGTGCTTTCAAGAAATTTAAAGAAATAATTTGCATCATGCAGTAGAGCAATTCTCTTGGGGGTGTGTGTGTGTAATCAGATCATTGGTTTGAATGACATTTTTATCTATCTCTTCATTCACGAATTAACTCATATTGTAAAATACATACCTGCAAACAGCAAGATTCAATACCACGATGTCACATTACCGTAACCATACGGTTCATATGGATAATGTGCATGCTGTGGTTGCCATAGAAACCTCTCAATGCTTATTTTCCAAGTTCTCAGTTTATAAATCTCAAGATAACATTGCACTAAATGTTAAGTATAAAGAATGATAAATGTTAGGAGAGAAAAAAATCTGTTTCATTCAGTACCAATTCCTGACAGTTCAGAACTGTTTGTGTCATCTTCAGGGTCTCAAGTCATTCAGAGCTTCTTTGTTCACTTTAGGTGTTGTCCCCTACCTTGACAAAATTTATATGATTGGGTCTCCTTTAAGGTTCACCTTCTATCACCCAAAATTCTTCAGTACTTGCTTTCTAACTCTATCTAATTCTTAAACCCTATCAATACAAATTTTGTGCTTAAATGCTTGACACTAAATATAATGTCCCATATAGAGACATACCAAAATCACACTGTTTTGGTTAATGCAGCACAAAAGTTATTGCAGCTGTTTCTAACAAGACATGATGCATTGTGCTGCACCCCTACACCGCATTCCAAGCTATATTTAATACTGTTTTTTTTTCCCTGTGTTTAATAAATCTGCATTTTCCAGGATAAATCTCAATTGTTTTAACTTGCTGTTATGCTTTTTCACCTGTTCATTAGTATTATAATTTTATTTCATTCAGACCTTGTCAATATACATCTTCAGATCTGATGAATACTTGATGAATGAAAGCAAGAATGTTCCTATTTCAACCTCCCTTTTTCATGACATGCAAGATAAAACTTTTACTTTCTATGTTGATTGGAAATATAGATATTTAAATTCCATCTATACTAAGTAATGTCTTTTTAACCGGGTGGGGCACAGGATTATTACATCTTTTTTGCATCTCCTGAGATCAGCACTTGGACATAGTTCAAGTTATAAGTGAAATGAGTTGGGTGGTCTCAGGAAAATTTATTATATACAGCACTGCTCATCTGAAAATTGCACCAAACTGTGAACATCTGTTACTCTTCTAAAGAAATAGAATCTGGGCTACACTAATACTGGGTTCAGGGAAACAAAGATTCTTTAATCATGGCCAAAAAAAAGTAGCTCTAACACAAGAAACTGAACGCGTAACTAAATTATGAAATACGGACACCAAGTCATTGTCACACATCTAGTTACTATAGTCTGCAGAGTTCATGTGGAATTTCTTTGAAAAAAGCATGATTGCCTTTTTCTCCCAAAAATCATTGTGGAAACTCTTAACAAAAAAGGATGTGACCATCAGGCCTCTTCTACTTTGCTTTCTACCCCTGTATCAGCAGGTGTGTCAACCTGAGGATTCCTGTGAGGGCAGCTCTCTCTCTTCGCACCATCATCCCATCTCCTATAACTGAGTTTTCCAGGAAGGTTTTGACCAAGAAGTGACTGACAGACTATCACTTTCAGTTGTCCCTCTGAACCTCAAACTGTCAAATATAGAGCATCTCCAAGGCTTCCCTTATCCTTTCCTAATGGCTAAGCGAAATGGTTAGGTCAGGATTACTGCCTGCAAGGTTTCTGACTTCTACCCACAATTGGCAGTTTGAAAAGCAGCAGACAAACACAATTTCACCAACAGGTTTTGTGCAACATGTCCACTAAAGCAGAGCAGAGTTCAACCTCCACATTCATTCTGGCCTCACCTTTTTATTCTCCATTAAGACTGTCATTAACTGCACATGATCTTTGCTGCTTCTATTCACATAGGGTGACCCATGACTTTGAAACAGCTTCATTAAAGGCAGGATTACTCTGCTCCTAATTTAGGTACCTGAAAATTAAGACATCTAAATCTGTGCATCCTGGGCTCCCTTCATAATCAATGGAGAATGCAAGATAGATCACGTAAATCACCTACTTCACCATATCAGAAATCTACAGCAAATAACTTACATCTACACATCTAACTGTGAGAAATCTGAAGTTAGATGAGATAAATCCCAGCTTAAGAGATGAAATCAATATTTTCTTCCTAAAAACGTCACTAAGCACTGAGAAAGAGGTTACTTTCAATTGCATTTACCACAGGCACATAAAGAAGCAATATCCTGAACTATCCACTCAGGCTCTGTCTCACACAAACATTTAACACAATTCTCTTTGGTACCACTCCAGGATGATTTGCTTCCATGTTTACCCACAGGATTCATTTTAATCTAGGTGAAATATAATTGAGGAGAGATTTCGAAAGATACAAC